ACCAATGTCATACTTGAAATCAGCATCAAAAATTGAATTGAGTCATGTGTGTGTTTCAGGTTTTCGGGACAACTTTATTTTTCAGGAAAAATCGCGGTGGAAAAGTTCGAAAAAAATCAAAGTTTTTGATGCTGATTTCAAGTATGACATTGGTTTTACAAAAAAATAGAAGTTTGACGGTAAGGACTGTAAAATATGAATGTTTTTCTTTGTTTTTTGGTATGTTTCAAAAAAACCCTTTATCTCAGGAACGAAAGAGAGTTAAAGGAAAACAATGCTTAACTTTTATCAGCTCGACATGGCGAATCTAACCACGATAAAATAAAGGCTCTATCTTTCTTTATAAAAGAACTTAATTCTTTGATTTTGAGTCCTTCGAAAAAAGGGCAAGTGTCTACTGGAAGAAAACAAGCTGGAAGGTCAGCAAACACTTTTTCAGAGTCAGTTTTCAATGCAGATTAAGGAAAAAGTTTTCTCAAAGGTCCAACACGTTTCGTGTAGGAGCTGCAGACTCTTATCTCTAAACAACACGGTTTTTCCAACCGACGATTTTTGCAGTTTTTTCAACCTTCTGACCACAAGAAAAGGCTTTTTCTAAACATACTACACATATTCGGATGCAGCGTGTTGAACCATGTATAAAAATAAAAAGCGTTAGACTTTTGAATTTCATTAACATTACTTGTTATGTTATTTTTATCTGCTGTCCCGTGGAGGTCCCGGAACATGTAAATGCAGATGTCATTGGTACTTGACGTGATTTATTCTTTTTGTCTTTCCAAATGCCAATTATGACTGTTATGAGTGCTATAGTAATCAACACAGCACATCCCAAACCGATGACGGGTGCCTTGAAGTGACGCTGAATATGCCCGCTTATAAATGCTCCCAAGAGATCACACAAATTTATCAAAGACATGTATGTTGTAAATTGACCTCCCTCAACATGGGATCGACACAGTGACATAAGTATAGGCATAGCGGCTGTACTCAATATTGGATCCATCAGACTCCAGAGAATAAGACCAGCAGTGGCCGCTGATCGTCGAATCCAATATGATGAAACGAGATTTATTATCCACATATACAATGAATGGATACTCATGACAATAATTAATAAACGACGGGCTCCCGTACGATCAGCTAACCAACCACCAATTAGCACAATAAACACCACACTCAACGTGCCCCAAGCACCTGAAAGGTCAATATAAAACTAAAATTATTTTACTGGTATCGATTTTATTTATTATACGTACCACTCATCACTGATACATCAGTATCAGTCCATTTTAACTCTTTAATCAAATGAATATTGTAAGCACGAATGAATGCACTCTGTGATGAATAACATATGACAATTGGAATAAATAATCGAAGACTTTCGATCGATAACAGACCGGAAAACAATTCTTTGAATAACCATAATATCGAATGATCAAGAATATGTTGACGCCGATTCTTTTGGCGATTATGAGTCCAAGGAAATAGAGAATCATCACTTTTCTCTTTAATAAAGAATGTGATAACCGTGAACACAAATAAAAATAACGAATTTATCACAGCAGCAAAGAAAAATCCCTGTTTACGTAGAATAAAAGATAAACCAGCCGCTCCTAAAAAAAACAGAAGCAAATTTTAACTGTGTTGACCGCTCAGATCGGTCTAACTAACCTAACGCAGATCCTAAAAGAAATCCACCCCTCATTACACCGTTAATCCGTCCCCGTTCTCTTTGTGGTATTGTTGATATAGCTTGCGCATCAACTGAAGCATCTTGAACAGAAGCAAATATCGAATGAACAAAGAACGCGGTCATCAACGTTTTGATAGATTGTGTTGGAGGATTTTTAACGAGTAGAAGACCCAACGATGCTATGAAGGCAAATATTTGTGAAACAATAACCCATGGTCGACGACGGCCCATTTTCGACACTTGAAAGCGATCAATTAATGGACCCCATACAAATTGCAATGCCCATGGGAGACCAGCTATGGCTACAAATGTTCCGACGATTGAAGATTGTTCACCTTCAGCTAAAAGAAAGACAAAATTAAAATACAAGTGTAATGTATTAAAATATTATCAATCGACTAGTTTTGTATAAGCTGACAACGGCATAGCATAATAAGTGAAATACCGTTGATGCGTTCTGATATATTTTATTATTGTGTAACTGGTAGGGTTAACAAAGAAGAAATTAAAGCTTCATAGAAAGTGTCGTAGCATGATACAGTCTTGCAGAGAGAAGACAGACACTGTGATAATCAGTAGAAATGACCTAATCTGAATAGTTATTCGCCTGTACTGGGATAAAAATTACAGACGCATATTCACATGTCAATCTTAACAGAGCAAAAGACGCTCATACTATGATAATTTCAATTACTCTGATATAGTTCGATAATATTTTACTATTATTTACCGTAATAGTGACGACTCATCGATAAACCACACCGAAAAAAAGATAGCATTTTGTCAAGATATCGGTTTTATCGCAGTATCTCCTCTAAATATCGATATGAAAATTCTATGGCAATAAAGGCAATGATGTCGTAATGTAATGAGATAGTTGGAATTAGCACAATATAAAGGGGGTTTACCGTGTTAACATTCATACGGCGATGTAGCGATTGCTCCTGGCTCTGATATATAATGATACCCGAGTTTATCTGGATAAAAATCAGTTTATCGCAACTGTTATTTTATTTTTTCGCTTTTATCGAGATATACCGCTGTTTTTCTACAGCTTGACCTGATGGGAACTTAGCTAAAAAGGAATATTGATCTAGGTTAAGCTTCGTTTGAACTAGAAATGTTTTTTTGAGTGGGAACGGAAGATGTAGACATCTCCTAAACCACATGCCAGATTTTCTTCAATTGTTTCCTCTAATAGTACCAGTAATACAGCTCTCAAAGTATAAAAAGTTTGGAAAATCGTGCAAAGATCAGCTGATTTAATCTCTTTTCTAATTGATAAATGATTTGTGAATGATAAATGATTATTAATGATAAATTAATATACTGTAAACAATCCTTTTTCGGATAAGGTGTCCACCAGCTGTGTTTCGACGCCCCTGGTTCAGGGTGAGAAAAATTCTTATAAGTATAAAATATGGATTGGTATACAATCTGACACGTGCCACAAAAACTAACATGAACAAACTAAATGAGGCCCTGTGAAAGGTAGCAGAAGCTCCGTGAAATTGTTCAGTATTGAAATATGAGTCACATTCTTGCAGTGTGTAATCAAAGCAGAACACCTGATTACGAGTTTATCGTTAAAAAACAAATCATTCCACCTTAAATATGAAGATAGATGGAAAAAACATCCAGTTCACTAGGATTACACTGTTATACTATACCGGTTAAGTAATTTGCCAATGCTGTTGATGAAAATCCAGCGGGTACACCTTGCATAGCATATAAATAAAAGAAGGTAATGTAACGTAGGACTTTGTTTTCACTCAAACTCAAAAAATATGTTCGCGGATGTGACGAGGAGTTTGTTCCATTCAAATCACTGTTTTGATACAATAGAGGTTCGTATGATTTGGACAAATAATTAATTGCATAGTTCGATTGTTCATTGGTGGTTGCCGTTATTGAGTAAAGAGCACTTTTAATCGATCCTTCTGTTGCATTTGCCAATAAATATCCGGTTGTAACAAATAAATAATCATCTGATGATGATACACTGGTTAATGTATGATTTTCATGATCAAAAACGCGTATAGATAATGAATCACTTTGAATATGAAGTTTAAGATAGACGTGCTCATTTCGAAGAGTACTATCATATACTTTCGATAATGTTGGAAAATAGTGAATAAATTGGAGAATATCATCGCTGAAATAAGCAAGATACCTTCATCTGTGAGAAAACTGTCGTTCTCTACTTATGTATTATTGAAAATAGCCTTTTGAAAATACCACTCACTGAACTTTAATCCTTAACTGACCGACTCGGTCAAATAAGGATAAAAACAGTAGTCTCGGTTCTGATGCATGTACCGGTAGTGATCCACTATGCAGTACACGCAGTAGTCTGAACGTGTCCAGTATTTTCCATGTTGTTTGAGTAAACTTCAGCAAGCTAAAGATCAGCTTCTATTGATGAAAAAAATATGTCATATATTAAAGCCATCAATCAATAAGTGTGATATCGATTTTCAAGCAGTGCGGTACTTCATCAGAAGAACACACACATTCGACGCTAATACACAACGATACCTCGAACATTGTCTCGACGATGACAATGAGCATGGTCGGCTACTTTTTGCTAAAAAGTCTCACTGATTTCTGTGTACAAACGTGCCGGTCGTTGACTATGATCAACTTGAT